TTCAATGAGACTTGCTACATAGATCCTCTAGGACTATGCAGAGACCTGATTAGTTTTAGGGTGAATAATTATGGATATTAATTACCTAATTCGCATAATTACTTAATTTTTTCCATGAATGTTCCACTGATATATAAAGAACCACTAATTGGATTTTAATGAAACTTTTATAGAGTATTCATTATCACATTTCAATGAACCTAGGACTATGCAGAGACCCAATTAGTTTTTGGTAAATATTTATTCTTATTAATCACCTAATTAAAATAATTAATTAACACTGATATCTCAATTATAGATCATCACATTTGAATAAAATTTGGTACATAAATGCTCTAGAACAATAGACAGGCCCGATTAATTTTGGGTTGAAATTTGTTCATATTAATTCTCTAATAATAATTCATAGTTTTTTTGTTCTAATCACATTTCAATGAAACTTGGTACATAGATATTACATTACGCAGGCCTTATTAGTTTTACACTCAAATCTGTTCATATCAGTTACCTGATTTACGTAATTAGTTTTCAGCTATTCCATCAATATCTCAAGTACAAGTAATTTTGAATTAATTTTTAATGTGTCTTCAATACTCTCAGCACACGGGAGTTCTTTCTAAGCTTTCTTTGATTAATAATTATTTGACCAACCAAAGCAACTACAATTTTGACTTCATTGCTGCTGAAGAATATAATTTTAAATCGTTGTATCAGCAGTATATAGAGGGCAATACAAAAGAGCACTCTAAGAGTGAAACTTGTCTGAATTTGAATCAAAATTTATGAAAATTTCCAAAACTTAAAGTTTGCAATATTCATCGGTAATCGGAAATAAGTTTACACTCTCACATATTTGTTTCTTGATAAAAACAAAACATGTTATGAATCAGATTACCAGTATTTACTATTATAGAATCTTTGCACATTGCAAGGTCTGGCACTTCTGATCCAGATGCCTACAATTGATATAAATTAGCCATGTAAATTCATTCTAACCTCACTAAAATTAGGTTCATGTAAGGAAGTAGACAGTGTTTGTCAGATAAAATTAAATGTTGGCATTCCCAGTCATTTGAGCATCATGTGTAAATTGCTATTTTTAACTATTTGCTGATTATGTTAGTATTTTTATTTACAACTACTGTATCATTTATTGTATCACAAAATCTATCATATAAGATAAGATAAGATATTCTTTATTACAACCATATTGATTGGAATTCAATTTAGGTGAATACAAAAGTAATAAAGGTATAACAAACTATTTTAAAAAACTTAAACTATACTTATCATAAAGATATACTGTAAAGAAATATTACTGGTACTTGAAGATAAAAATTAAAATATTACATATATAAATTAAGAAATAATTAAAATTATCTGTTATGTTCTTATTTGTAGTTTCACTATTTGGATGAGTTCTATAAGTTTATTTTAATAACGGTATACATTGTAGTGGCATGCATTGAAGTTATCAGGTTGTATCTTGGGTATAAAGGAAATCTAATGGAGAAGGTGAGTATGTATGACACAATGTACTGTGAGTGTCCTCTTGGTGGGAAGAGGAATCTGCGATGTACTTTTAATTAATAATAGAACATATTACTGTGCTGTGATGTGATGTAGTAAAGTTTTTAATCAGTCTTAAATGTTGGCAATCAAATGGTTGAAAAACGTTGAAATCATTTCTGCACATGGCATGCTTCGTTTATGCGTAGCACATTTTTAGCTCCACTGTTGATTTAGTTGCGTAGCAGAGCTATTCATATTACTTATTGTCCTTTGTGATTTGTCGATGTCAATTTTACAATGCTAGATGAGTTGTACTCACATAGAGTACATATTAATTCAACTGTTTGCAGATGTATTATTATAACATGAGTATTTTATAATTAAATGGCGAGGACTGTGACATTCATGTTTTGTTTTTATATTATATTACAGGGGGGAATGCTGTCCTTTTTAATACATGGAATAGGATTTTTCTTATGTTTTCTTTATGTTATTTACAGGTTCCAGAGTTGGCAGGATTCTGGTTACTTACATTGGTAATACAGCTACCCCTGAGTATCTTTCTCATAGCTAACCAAGGATCCTACATTCTACCAATAGAGTACTCAATCCATATCATCTTCTTGTTGTTTATTGGTTTTGAGATTTTAATGGGATTCATTGCAATCCGTGTCATGGCTGACCATCAAATGACTAAGTTTCACTTACAGCAGTTTGATGAAATACCAGATTTGGAACAAGATGGGTACCTGCTTAATCCTCGCTATGAAACAAGGGCATAGTAATGTCAACTATTCATTCTTTTAGTCATGCACCTAAAATTGTAGTATATGTACATATATCAAGTCCAAAAACAGAATTTATTTTTTCTCCTTTTGGAATATAGAATGCTATTGAATATTATATAAATAATCCAATCTATAAAATTGTGGCTAGTAAGCAGTGAGTACACTGAATCAGTATGTGTAAAACTTATCAATGAAATTATAAATAAAATTGTACATTGTATTGATCAGAGGTTGAGTTAACTCAAATTTATTCATCCAATATATAAATTATATCACATTGATACATCATACTAACTGTATATGTAACAGATTTTAGGACTGTACTGTACATGAAATAGACATGAGAAATAGCTACATTACATCATTAATCAGTCCCATGCTAGCATGTCAATATTCTGTGAACAAAGCTAGCACAAGCACAACCTCTGATCTGTACTTAATACCCGAACTGTAAACCATGTTATTTTTATGAGTTATGGAAATCACAAAATGAATTGAACCTCGATAAGTATTATAAAAAATTCAATGGTTTACAGGTAGTGCCTAAATGTTAGTGTGATTTGTCTTAAAACCTATATATGTAATAAGTTGATTTGTAAGATTTAAATTGATTGAAGATATGATTATATTGCCTTGTAAATAGATGTAAAATTCCACTACTTTGTATTTTCATAAAATATTCTACTTACAATTTAAGCATTCCATTATTTTTACACATTTTGAAAAATCAGTACATGTAGTTTTAATATTTTTGGGGCTGTGTCCAAGAAGAAATTGTTTGTGAGTTCCCAGAGCATTTTTTGTGTTGAAATCTGGTTAATGATTTTCTGATCCATACAATTTAAATGCCTTGTTTAATATATTGACGATATAATGAGACAAGTGGATTAAATCAACTGTAATTAAATCCGTACAGTCTAAAAAAAATGGGGGGGGGGGGGAATGCTATCTACTGACCGTGACTGAAGAGAGACATGTGACGACCCTTGTGGGTAATGAGACAAGTGGGTTTAAGCATTGAGAAAAAAAATGGTGGGGGGGGGGGCACTAAAGTGCCTTCTACTGACTGAAGAGGGACCCTTGTGGGTAATTCTTTAATCCTTTTTTTGTAGGCGTTAGAAAAACATTTGACTTAAAGACAGCCAGGAATCCTCTGCATTTGTACCTAAGTACTAAGTTTGCTACTGTTAACTGTTATGCCTTGGATTGGCACTACTAGTAGCCATGGTTGCATGTCATTTAATTGCGGGAACATCAACAATTTTTGTTTGTACTCTTTGAAGTTTTAATAACATTTTTTCTAGAGCTATGTTCTAGTATCTTCTTTTTCATTGTTTCTTTGTCATATCTAGAACAGTCGACCTGTCCATTTCCCTGGCTGGAACATGCATGATACACTCTGTCAGTCATTTGGGACAACATACACTCTGTCAATCACTTGTGACAATATCGGTGTGTGCATATTCCCATCGTTTCCATTATTAGTACAAATACTCATGAACATTTTTCTGTCATTGAACACTATGAAAAGACACCCTAACACTTGCACGACTTTTGGCCATGATTTTGTTCATCAGTGTCCATATTGACACGAACTGAAATGACGAGTCCACGCATAGTTTACGTACTTCCCGCATTGGCACGAGTTTGCGCAATTCGGATGTGAGCTTTACATGAACTATTCGTGGCAGTTGTGGCATGGTGCACACTGGCGAGTCACGAACAGTTTGTGCATAGTTTCAAATTCTCGTTTTGACATGGCACGTAGTCACAACAGGTTTACGCACACTTCATGCCAGTTTACGACTTGAGTCGTGCCAATGCATGCCACAGAAAGTCGTGCAAGTGTCAGGATGGATTTATGCAGCACCAAAAACAGCTTTTCTATCCCACTATATCACATTTGGTAGATTTTTTCTACCATGTTGCTGAGAAAAGAGCATACTAAACAGTGACAAATATCAAACTAGCAATTAACACTATATTGAAGGTTAGTTTGGACAAAGTATTTCTGTTAATGTGGTATAGGCATTTATGAAGGCACTAGTGTATTCAGAAGTTAAAGCCACACCAAGATTAGTTTCCCCTCCATGGTCTCTGTCACAAGTACTCAAATCACTTCAACAGTTAACCTCCAATGTCCAATGAATCAGTTCACTTTTGGTACTATCGCCAGCGGACTTGATGAAGTGCAACCTTAGATGTTCATTTGTCATGCATAAACCCCACACTCCATCTGCCACATTATTATGGTGAATGTTGGAGAACATCAGTTTTGCTTATGCAAATCCTGGCAGGGCGAGAAGTCTCTGGCATTTTATGATTGAGTCATATGTGCGCAGGCTAACGAAAAAGAACACATTTGGTTCCTACTACCTGAGAGATCGGGCCACTGGCTTGGGTCTACACAGGATGAGCCTCTGATTGTAGCAAAACAGAACGAAAACTCCCAGCACAAACACTAATTTACTTAAAGCGAGAGGGTTGTTACCTGCACACGGGCGGGGGGGTGGGGAATAGAGTCCCAAGCGTCGATAACAACACACGCTAAAAGCACAAAGGCTCATGGGTAGACCTTGTTTGTAAACAATGACACACTATGGCCATCTGGTGCAGGTGACAACACTCCTGCTTTAAGACTTCTCATTAAACTATGGTGGTAGTAACCAAGAATAAACCAATCATGACACCAGTTTTACAATTAGTCGCTTCTTCCTTAATGTAAACAGTGTTACAGTCGGTTAGTCAGCACACTTGGGGGGGGTGACGTACTCCATCCACTTGTATTGTATCTTCAATATTATCAACAAGACTGAAAGTACAAGTTGAAATGTATGTAAACTTATTAGACTGCTGTACATTTTTTTGTTTGTATATATGGAATTTTGTAGAATTAAAATAAAGTTTCTAACATTTCTTGTGTGATCATGTATAGGATGTGAGTGCTCTTCTACATAATGTGTTGATTAAGCTGATTTTCTACTTGTGTTGGTAAATACATCTGTGCTCAGACCACTACTGGTTCAAGATCTGTCTCGCCATTTATAGGAAGAGAGGATGGTGATCCTTAAAATTTGCAGCAATTATCGGAGGATAAATTCAACGAAAAACAATTATATTGTTAACCAGCTAGATTAGTTTTAGTTAGATTTGAAAAACAAAACAAATAACAAACCCAGGTCTCAACATTACTCCTCGGCAATGACCATGCACCAACCATTTGCAATCAGTGTTGAAGGGTGTATGTAATTTAGTTAATCGTTGAGAACCTGATGATGCAGTGTTACTTTATTGTGATGGTTACAATCTCATTCAGGACTGAAGATTAAATTTAATACTGAATAAAGAAAAAAAACTCCTTGAATGCAATTTAATTCCTCAAGATTTATTTCCATACTATATGTACAATGAACAAAAAGCCATCTTCCCCTATTGTTATTCCACTTAAATATTTATCTTAAAACATTTCATTCAAGAAAATCTCATAAAAACAAATATCATTGGTTAAAGGCCAGTCCAACTGGTAAAATGATCGGTCATAAAATAACGTGACCATGTGAACAGGAAATTGTGATGTGCAATCCAAAATAAGACTTGTAAACTGATGGACAGCATGGACTTGGCGTAATACATCAGCCTCATTCCTTTTTTTCTAAGGAGAACTTTAAATGGTGGATTGACATTTGTCTTTGATTTATCTATCAGTACAGACCAAATCAAAGTTATTAGTGCACTTTACAAGATCCTTATATTCTTTAACCCACACAACTCTCAAAAAAAATTTCACCCGGAGTCATCAAAATTGTGTAAATCACCGCTTGTTTGAAATGAATTGACTTTTCTCCACACACCTGCACCCTAAACCATGCAGAACCTCTTCTCTGAAACCTTTGTGTATTTACTTGTAAGTAGCATGCCAATACCCATGTCAGACTGTAAATAATGTAATATCTACAAAAACATGCAGATCACCGCGTTGAATAAATATATGGTATACACCTGGCAAAATTAGGTGACCCCCTGTCTTTCTTTTTAGTTTCTGGTAAAGTATATATTAAACACATTCTGTAGAGAGATATTATACCATATCAAGGATGGTCAATTTTCGATTTACATGTATTCATGTTACTGTATTTGTTCTAATAGTAGTGTGTACATACGTACATAGATGATAGGTGTGTTTATGGTCAAAATTTGTTGTTTTTCAATAACCCAGCAGACAAATAACATTTTTAGTTTGTGTATACTTCAATAGAAGATGCGCTTCTAATAGAGCAAATACAGTAATTGGCAATATATGCAAATACAGTAATTGGCAGCCAAAGAATTGACTTTTGCAAATATGTGTAATATCAGTTGCAAAATGATTGCACAGAATGCTATCCAGGATTTCCACATTTTAACTATCAGTGTTAATAATTGATACTATCAATATTTGGCTTCTGAGTAGACGCAATATATGTGATGTACATCTTGACAACCTGGACTTGGTGTTTATAGGAAAATATGACCAAGTCTGCATAAAATAACTTGTTTCTATACAATCCACTACATGCAAATGTTTGAAGAACTGTGATCTTGATAAATGTTGATCAGTTTAGAACAAAGTATCTCACAACACATACATTGTACATGTACACTGTGCCAACCTTCCATATACAATGTATGACAATACAGCTTCATCAATTTTTAAAATAATCTACATCAAGTTGTGTCTATTATGCAATCCAGTCTTTCCAATATAATGATAAATGTGGACGATGGTACAAGTCTGTATTGACAATGTTACTAATGAGCATCATCAAAATCATCATGGAACTCTTTCATATGTTCAGCAAATCTGTAAAGGAGAAAACAAAAATAATATTTACATTCTGGTAACACAAGGTGAAGATTTCTAGTGATTCTGTATTTGTTCTATTAGAAGCGCATTTATCATTTGTGTCAAATCATGTTTCATTCAGTGGAAGCATGACTTGGTCATATGTAGAATAGTCCATCAATGATTTGGTAGTTGATGAAATGAATAAAATTAAATACCCCGCTTTGTGTACCTGTCAATTCTGAGCCCTGAGTCTAAAAGCACTAAACATTCATGAATCCCTTGTTGGGCAAGTACATGTAATAGGCAGGTACATGTTAATTACTTTTATAGGGGTGGCACAGATGCACTAAATTTTGTGTAATGGTGTACAGTGTACTCGGCTAACACCTTGGTTGCTCAGCTAACACCCTAATGTACTTGACTAACACATGGTACACTCTGCTAATACCTGATGTACTCAGCCAACACTTGGGTATGTATTCAAATAAATGCCAAGCTATCAAATGACACAAGGCATCTACATATTGCCTGATGGCACACAATTTTGTTCTTTTACAATAACCTTTATCATATATCAATTATTCTAAGCTGTTTAACTACCTGCATTTAATGAAATTTCATGCATTATTTGATGATTCCACCCTCTATATAGGTTAGTGACACAGATGCCCCTGTCTAAAAAGTGCATTAAGGTGATATTCTGGAATGGCTGAATATTTATGTATGAAATTAGGGCTTAAAGGGCGGCAGTCGTCGCGCCGCGTCCTGTTCGATATGGGACTCATAGCGACATATACAACGCGTGTAAAATACATTGTTTATTTACATGAAATTCGAACACGCGCTGCGCGACGACCATCATGCTTTAACTACCTTGGACACTATCGGGCCTATTATATTAATATGGAATATGATACACTACAAATGTAGGGGTTCTATTACAACAATCACAGCTATATTCCACACACCAGTCACTACAATGACATTTTCCAGCTAGTAATAGGCCAGATTCAGCTAACTGTGCATCTGTAGATCATGTATGACTGTGTATTGGCAACCGATACTGTACACTTCTATCTAGTTCCCACAACACTTAAACGCAAGCAAACTTACCATATTTGCTCTATTAGTGGCACATGTGCTTATGTAAACTACTGACGAATTATTATAATCATCAAAATAAGTAATATTACAATATACAATAAATGCGATTTTTGGTTTATATTCAAACAATTTGTTAAAATGTAATCCAAATCACCAAGAATAACATATGATGAGGTGAAATAGTTATCTGTCTGTCAGTAAAGAGTTGCCACGTCACAAGCCAGCTCACACAAGATCATCAGCGGCTGAACATAGGCTATTGAAAAAGACTGAATTATAAATACCTGCCTATGTTAATAAAAACTGAAAAAACAACAAAATTTGAAAAGATGAGAAGGAAACTTTGGATATGATATGTAAAGGAGAACTTGAGAAAGTAGTTCCGTGTGTGGAATTAAGGCGTGATTGCTGTATTCGGTAGGAGGGCAAACAAGAAGGTGATGAGATGAATGCATTACCTTTGAGCACAGTCAGAATACATATCTCTCTTGCATGCTGCAGTGTTGGCCAGTTTATACAGAACTAAGAAAACCAAGCAATGTAGAAAGATAGTGTAGAAGAACGTGATGGTCCTGGCGATTTTGTTCGATAAGATAAAACGTCCCTGTAAAAAAAATGAATATCAAGTTTAGGTGTGATACAGGAATGATGTAATGCCATTCAAAGACGCAAAAACTGTGATTTGTTGTGTAGTTGTTTATTGCTTAGAATATAGTGAATCTCTCAACAACATTTTTATTGATGGTCATCCATCAATAAGAACAATAGCGCCACTGTAAACAATTTAGCTCATGGAAGTGCTTTATCACTAGAGAGTCTGAAGTAATAGGAAACATGTATTGTACGCAGTGTAAAAAAACATTCATTTCCACTTATTCCATCCTTGACACCTTGGTGAAAATTAACAACCAAATGTAACATACCATACTTAAAGTCGCTTTATCATGAGGGCTTAAGTTCATATATTTTCTCTGTCTTTCCTTTCGACTGAAAGATGAGAACGGATCTAATTTCTCCTCATACTGGGACGAATAGCGACTTTCAGTTCCGTCATCTGGACGAGGAGAACTCTGTAGAGTAATAAAGTAAAGCAATTATAAATCAGAATATTGATCAGATGTAGAATATTGTGGTAAAAGAGAGCAGTTTGAAGCAAACAATAAACAGAATGCAATTGGTTGATATAACAAATGTTTTTACTTATTTAGCAGCATTTATTATTTAACAGTATAAAATTAAATAGCCCTCTAGTGTTACAAGATATATCTGCTTTTGTTTTCACAATTATTTCTGTACCCAGTAACCAAACAATACAACTCAAAAGTTTAATATTTTACATTCAATTCTGTCATTGATTGTATTTCATTAAAAAGACAGTTTTGAGAAAGGGTGTACATAACATTTAATTATTTTATATTGTTTTACTGTAACATGTAATTACCGGTATTACTTTATACGTCGAACTCTGGAAACAAAATATACCGGTATACAATTTTCTTTTTCACAAGAACAATAGCAGTACATACCCTTGACGGATAGCTTTGTAGAAACTTGATTTTCTCGTACAGTTTAACATTGTCTGATCTCAAGGAATCCAACTCATTTTGTATTACTTGAATCTGTTTTTGTTGATGACGATTTTCCTGTCAAATCAAAATTACTTACAAATTAGTGTACTTGAATGAACACAATGATTACATAACATCAATATATGTTCATATACAGTATGTAAAATGATTTTAAATAGGGGATTGTCATTATCAAGAGTAGCAAACTGATATTCATGACTAAAAGTAAATTAAAAATAGTCAAAGTCAAATAGTTGAAAGTCAAAGACAGAAAAATTTTAAACTTTACAGCACTACGCTTATGAATCATAAAGTGTGTAGGTGGTCATCATTTACATTTATGGCCTCCAACAGTTTTTAGCATCAATATAGAGAAGATAATAATAGGCGAGATGATACACTTACAGTTTCTAGTTCCTGGTTTCTGACTCTAAATCTCTCTCTTTGACTTGATATAATTGGCAGTAGTGAATCAGCTGTACCTGGTGATGGCTCAGGTGGTGCATGTGCTGTGGGAAAAAATACAACAATAGCCGAGTGAAAGCAGTATGGGATGTTTTACACACTAAACTTACCTTAGTATCACACATTAAATGTTTTTATAACTCGTACATTTGATAAATCTTAGATACAATGACTACCAAGATCTCATTGAGAGAGATAGCTATGTTCACTGTTTCACTAATCGATGTAAACATAGTCTTTGAAACTGTTGCGATGACAGGATATAAAAAAGATCACTGCAAGTCTCATGGCTTACTCTCTCTCAAAGAGATCTTGATGACGACATGTAAATCAGTGTGTGTGGATTTGACAATAATTCATAGACTGATGTAACCAACATGTAAGATAGCTTCCTCTCCTGAATATTGTAAACCATTTTTATTTTGACCATCATAGAAAAATATCAAATTCCATTAGAAGAGTACACCCACCCATTTCATTGTAAAGCCTTGTGGTATTATAGTGATTTTAGCATTACAAAATCAGACAAGCGTAACAACAACCTCCAAACATGAATACTTATAGAGAGATGATTTACGTTGACAGTCACAGACAATGTGTTTTGGCATGTTAATGGTGATATGACAGTCAAAACAACAACTTTTAAACAATAAATATTATTGGAAAAGTACCATTTTTCCTCTATTAGAAGCGCATCTCCAGTATAAATACACCTCGAAAAATGACATTTATTCTATACTGGAACATTCAATTATGACCACAGACTCACCTGTCAGTTTGCGTAAGCGCATGCATTACTATAGAGAAAATTATGGCAACCTTTAAAAATATTAGCTAAAATTGAGAATATATTGCTAAGCAGGACTTAGCAACCGCTTGCAGAGGTGATAAAAAAAATACATGTAATGATAGTAACATGAAAGCATACTGGCAATGAAGTAGGTCACAAGCTTTCCCACATTTCTTACCAATGCCATAATCACATGCACCTCAAAAAACTGCACCAATTTACATTTAGAGCATTTATGTCCCATGACCTCTAACCTACCTACAGTCTGCCGTTGTTCTAAGCTTCTGATGTGATGTTGTAATGTTCTGATGTGTTGTTTTTGCAACGATACATCTATTTATATATTCAAGTATACAGAAAAGGCAACGTTAACAAATATACAGTGGACTGGTCAGAGTACAAACTTTCTTCAAAGTTTAGACAAAATGAGGATAGATGCAGGTATGCGCAACAAGTGTCACATCCAACGTTTCATTTTTTACTATAGCCAAGTCAAATTAAAATGCTCAGTAAACAGTTCAAGCTGTGTGTTTGCCATTTTTTATTAGTTTTATTTACAAATTTGTGATACCGGTACTCAATGAAGATATATACATGGTGTGGAAAATTGTGTTCTAACATCATACAAGAAATTTGCATGCAATTATCATAAATATACACCATATATTATATTACCCTATTTTTACCTTAAAATTTGGTAGAGAGGTCATTTTGGCACAGTATCAAATGGATTAATAAAACATGAGAACATTGACTAACAATGCAACTTATGCCAAGTTATATTTGCAAATATTTTATTTTGAAAAATGTGTGCAAATCTTTGAACAAGTTTTGTACTCTAGACGCTGATATGTTTTAACAATGTTGATGAAATCAGGCCATGCAAACTTACATCAAGTGTTATCTTAAATGGTGATTAACAGCTGTGTCTGTGATCAGTTTTAGGGTCAAAGTTCTATCAATGAAAAGTGTAGCAGTCAAAAGCAATAATTATGTACATAATGAGAGAATGTTCATCTATCCAATTTCTAAATCTTTAACATCTAGTCAGTGAGTGGTGTTCTCTGTGGCTCTCAAAGCATAGACTCTAATAAATGGTGTCAAAACATTTTGTTCATATGGAAAGAACTGATATCTTGTGCATGCCCCTTTTGCCAATACTGATTAGAATAATAGAAAACACAAGATTAATTTGATACTGTCATTGTGGCAAAACTAGCAAGAGTTGATTGAGCAACAGTAATTTTTAATTTTAATAATCCAAAACTCAGTTCAACTCAGATTATACACAATAAGACCTCACCTCCTCCAAAAATTCATCCTATCTATGTGCTTAACCTTTTTATACCACCAGACTCTCACCCAGATGTTTCTCCACATTTTTCTTATATTCTTCAATATTTCTAGAAATGAACCCTAATTTTGGAGCCAACAGACAAAATGCATGTCAATTTTCAGTTTTTACTAAAAAAATTGGGCTATTTTAGTCCCAATTGTCTGAAGGAAAGCACAGACTATAAACGGGACTATTTTGTGAATTTGTGATGAAAAGAGGGAACTGGTGGTGAAAAATCCCTTCAATACATTTTTTTAGTAGTTTGTTTTGGGAACAGTGTGTGAAAAGCTTGTGGCAATGAAGCAAGAACATACGAGAAATGAATTTATGGAAAGAAAACTGGTAAACAAGATCTCCAGATACAGCAGTAAAACATGAACACAATATACCGTAATAAAATCAAAATATTAATATAATACAATCACACATGTTATTAATTCCCTGTGTCATCAGCTGGGTTTGTTTATAAAGCCATGCACACATAATCTTCCCAGCTATCAATAATCATGCAACGTATTACCCCTTTCAGTATTCAATTTCAAATCCAATATAAATCATCAAATCTAAAATGCTCTGTTAATGAGTATGTTCATCATGAGAAAATTTAAATACATGTAATCTATCACCATTTAAAGAGTTGCCACCAACATAAATGCAAGACAGCATGTCATGTGAATAGTTTCCAACAGTTTCAATGGGAGTCCATGAAATCAATAACATAGTAGCATCACGAAACACATGTGTGATTATAACACACATTTCATTTTTAACAATAAATCCATTGTGCTGACTACCCCCGGTACATAGTAAATATCTGAGAAGACAACACAGTTATATAGAAACAAACTGGTGAGTTGTCAGGCTCAGGAGTGAATACCATGCGACCATAGCACATACCTAAGGTGGCGGAATCTCTGACAGCATCAGCTACCAATTCACTTGAGATGTTGGGTTGAGCCTGACCCTACAAAGACAAAAATCAACATGTATTCTACTCCTTCAAACACACTACTAAACCTCACCTATAATCTATGTGGTATTTATTACCAGCCTTTACAGTTGATATGAGTTTTACACTCAGTCACAAATGGTTGACGAATACAGCCCATCAATGGTCAAAACATGCTTCACTGCAGTGCAAAATAGATGTTAATACTCTTGTATGTTCAAACATGTACTGCATTTTGTGTAAAGTGAAAAAATGTAAAAATAATAATCCATACCTCTCCCTCTCCTCTGTACAATGCAGACACAGCATTCACACTCAGTAGATCTTTCTCTAGTTGTGCTACCAACTCTTTCTGTTCTTGCACCGAACTCACCACTTCACCGTAGTCTTTCTGTAAGGTATCATAGCGATCTAAGAAAAAAAAACAGTGACATATTGAGTGTGTGGCTGTGCGAGTGTCTTTTGCAATCAAACATGCAAAAGCCATGGTTATTTGAGAATGGCATGTTTGAAAAGCAGGAATTGAACATGGCGACTCACTCACTCACTCTGTTGATGGGATATTTTGGTATCAAACTATCAGCACTCCAATTAAGCTAGAAACTAGATTTCACACTTGAAAGAAGCCAATTTCTGTAAAACATTTAAATTTTGTGAGTAACCCTAAGAAAGTTACAGCAACTTTCTTGACATTCAGTCAAGGAGTGCAAGTGTTAGGATGGATATAGCTTGAACTGTATTGAACACTCAAACTTTAGCATTGGAATTACTTTCTTTCCAATATACGTATATCCAGACCATAAACACTTTTCTTCCACAATACCATGATAACGTCTGAGGATGTGACATAATACATCTAAGACCAATGTATAGGTAAGTGTCTAAGGGTGTTGTAAAGTTCCTCTGTAATTATCTAGAAGATGCAGGTAACCATATAATATCTACAGTGACCAATGAAGTGTCTAAAGATGTTGCAAGTTAAAATTCGTTGTTATGAGGGTTGATAGTCAGTATCAGAAACAGCTAGCCCAGTGTGTAATAGAAAATTACAGCATACATAAAATGGTTAACCTTGGAAATTAACTCAAATTCAAAAATATTTGCTCCTAGAATAGATGATCAGAATACAACATATTATATAATATGATTAGTGTTTTATTTATTTATTATTGTACTCAACAAGTACATGTCTTGGCAGTAGTAAGAGTAAAAATGTAACAAAAATACATTGCAAAATCACAAATGGCACAATAGAATCAGATACAAAATTATAAGTAAAAAAATGTTAAAACTAATACAATGGCAGTATTGTTAAACTTTATGAGAATGGCATTTACTGTTAATGCATAGTAAATAATCAATATACGACTACACTGGCATTCCTCTATGTTCTCTCTGGTAAACCTAATATATATACGTTTCAATGAGGCAATGGAGACGCACCATGTCACTCTAGTACAGTAATGGTCCATAATAAAGACACTCCATGTCAGTCTAGTACAGTACTGGTCTATAATGGAGACACTCATGAAAACACTGAATAAACATTTTAACTACAATGGCAGTATTTTGATGTAAACAAAACAAATACAATAAAAAGCACCAAAACATAAATTAAAAGAAAGCTTTATATAATGCTGAATATATAACTATGTTTTTCGAAAAATAAAATATCAGAATACTACAGACAGTATTTGCCAGTCATCACTTTTACACTGCAATCTGCCATATTTCCCAATTGAATCACAGACACATTAAACACAATTTGTCTCTGGCTGCAGATCTTAACCAACAATTCAGAAAAACAATCAGTCCTATTTAAGACACATGTAATAAAGGCAGATATACTTGTCCAGTAACATAACCTAGTTTCAATCTTGGTCAAGACGCCAACAAAACACATGCTTCTTTTTCACATCTCCCTATTTTTCTCTTTTCCATTCATAGTCAACACACAGAAGTTAATAACGTTAAAAATTGACAGAGTGTAATCAGCATGTTAATAATATTAATACTTTTTGAAATAAAAAGCCTGCATTATAATATAATTATTTGATATATGATTAATTTACTCAATCCCCCTCATCACTTATTAATAAGGCATGATAGTTATACATCAAGACCATGAGGGTGCAAGATTACTCAAGAAAAATATAGGAACTTGTACAAAAATACAGAAAGCATTACAGGCTGATAAAAAAGGCAGAATATGCATGATTTACACATGTGTGGTAGATGATCAGCATATAATTACGACCTGATTTGCACTTTGTTGCATGATTGGCAAATGAATGTAACATAACTAGTACATGAATGTAACATGATTGGCACATGGCAGTTGCATGATTGGCACATGGCAG